CGAGGTGGCTGTTTCATCCGCCAGCTCATCGACCGCCCTCCAACAATATCTTCTCTTCCGCAACGTAAACACGGCCGCCCAAAAGGGAGCGCGAAAATTAAGCCAGTGACCATAAACCAGTGGCGACCACAATGACAAATGAGGATGCTATTTGTCGCCGTCGTCATCGTAGTGAGTCCCCCGCCATCCCACCTCTTTCCTGCCACCCACCTAACATGCCACCACCACCAGACAAATGACGGCGGCCACGGCCACGTCACCCCTCCCCAGCAACAATCGACCACGGACAACCACGAACGATCACAACACGACAACACGACCACGCAACAACCACGGCAGAACAACAGCACACGACGAGACACGACCATTATCAAACAAGCAAGGTCCACGTCGCCGTGAGCAACATCACAACCTACCACGGACGAACCACGACGAGGACACTGATGACGAGGGACGGTGAAGATGACCTGGCATGTCAATGGACGTGCCATGACGTCCAGACTGTGACGATGCATGTCGTCGTCACTGTCCACGTCAATCCAGGTGAGCAAGATGGCTCCTCTCCCCACCTTTTCTCATGAGAAGCAGGGCACGTCGGCGGCATGCCCTGCTTCATGGTAGTCATTTAGCTATTTGTTACTGTGTTTCTATGTGTAGAATACCGTTCTCAATGATCATTTCTTTGAACTATTCTTAAATTTTACAGAAAAAATGTGCAGGGATTGAACTTGCATTGGAATTCTGTTGTAACTCATGAACTATGTGACCTGTCCTGGAGGAACAGGTCTAAAACTTGTTCTATCTTATCAGAGATCTGACTGTTCCTTTTGTGTAATCTAAGCGAGTATCCAGCTTATATAACACGAAATAAATCCAAAAGGAGGAAACAAACCCTGATGACCTCGCAAAACTAAGCGAGTATCCAGTATCCCGATTTACCCTGCTTTCCTACAGCTCGCAAACACCCACAGGACACACTGCCGCAGCTCAGTGAGGTGTTCTGCAGGTTGCTTTCTTGTGTTGTTGCACGCCATGTCGTTATTGTGAGGTTTGGGTCCTCCCTTCCTCCTCTTCCCTTTTTCTTTTTTCTTTTTCTTTTTTTTTTTTTTATAGCCCACAAACACTGGTATCCGGCCAAAAGTAGGAGGCGTACGGTCACGTGGCACGTGCGTGGTTTTATTTTCGAGACGCGTTTGTTTATGTACATAGCTTTGGCTTCCCAAACTTTTCAGCCTAATACCATGCGCAGCCACCGTGCCTCCATCTACATATCGAGTCAACCTCAATGTCGAGCAGACGATGCTGTGAAAATGCGGATCCATTAACAACTCAAGCTCAAGGTGGGTGGGCTGCTTTTACCATTGCTGACTATCTTTAACCTGCCAATCCCAGGCGGTCAGGCCTCTGATACATCTGTCATGCGGAGCAACTGCGGAACTTTCAGCATTCTCGTAGACGCCCATCCTACCTACCTCCACAACGAAAAGTGAACCATGAGTTCCGTGCTCTCGCGAATCCCCCATGCCTTTCACTCCAGTCAAGACTCGAAACCGTTGGATGGCCGAGGAGGAACCGCTGTGGTAGGTCGAATCCCTACTTTAGTGGTGTGGATGCGATAATTACAACAATATACAGGAAGAGACAGGCAAGGCACCTCGCTATCGTGTGTCTCTCTATGTGCCCTCTCATGCGTTGTCTTAACTGCGAAAATCAGTATATTATCGCTTATACACCAGAGATGGCTCAATCAAGTCAATCAACCCAATCTACGTCAATGACCCATTCACCAGCCGCACTATCACAAGGCTCATCACGCCACCGCACACCTCAATGTCGGTCAAGGATCATCTCTGCAAAATCGAAGGCTTCAAACCAGGAACAGCTTCAACTCTCTTCGAATCACTTTTAAGCCAGGTCACGCTTGAGGAATCCACACGCGTCTCACTCAAAAAAAACTCTGGCCCCGGCTTGTCTGAGGACGACCCAATGGCTTTAGTGGTCAAACTACTGGGTGATGAACAGCGAGGCCCGCCTACAAAGCCGAGGTCACTCCCCGATTCTGGACCACGTGAGCCACGCTACCATCTGTGTTAACACTTTCGTATGCCCCGATATAGACTCTCATGTCTCTGCAGTTTACTATCGGATTTACGACAAGGGTGGTGCGATAGCTTCCAAAATGTCTTTTGACCCTGACGACGAGTTCTTGGGTCGAATTGATATGCTCTCTGTTACCCCGCCTCACACGGTTTCTTCCCTCGGGTTTCGTATTGCGAACGCTGAGGGCATCGTGAAGAACAAGTTTCAATTGTTTGAAGATACGGACGGTGATCATCTCATGAATGATGACAAGTATTTGTCCCTCCTTGAGCAAACATATCCAGGATGCGCCGAGGATGGACCTATCACGGTCGTTTGTGTTGAAGTAATGGAAGAAACGCAAGTGGAGCCTCAAATGCTAGAGGGGAAGACGGAAGAGGATACCACATTTTCGAAGCTGATGGAAGCAAACACAATGTGGAGTAGGTGTATTATTTGAGATTACTGATTTGATTGATTGTCACTGGAGCAGCCCCCACTGATGCCAACCTTCCTGTGTGGCTTCCTACAACGAAAAATGAAATATTACACACTGATGGTGTCAGGACAAATGCAATGTACATTGGTGGGCCATCAGGTACGCATGGATTTTTGTCCAAATGGCATTCAATTACGTAGCTCACCGGCATGACTGCAGTAGCGGGCTCTTATGTTGGCTACATGGCGATCAACTCCGCAGGAGAGATGGGGTGTGAGTAGTTGTTTCACTCTCTGGATGACAGCGAATGACTGATATACGAAAAACGCTATTGCTGCAGTTATCGCTGAGAGTGAGTGGCAGATCTAACACCCGTCACTTCATTCTAATCTAAGCTCTTCGCTATAGGCTTCTGTCAGCTATGCTAGCTGCCGTCTTTCTGATTTTGGGTCACGCCCGGCGCATGTCTTGAGAGGTATGATCTGAGTGTTCCAGGTGGATGGGCTCAAATTGCTGCTTGGTTTTCGATCGCTTCGTCGTGTAGCGAGCAGGTGGGCTTGATGAAGGAATAAATAAATTACCATCTCTCAAACCTTACACAAGGCCCGGATTCAAAAGACGTGTCTCAGAGTCAGATTCGAAGAGATGGCCAATTGCACCTCAAATAACTCCTCAAAATTGCCGTATCGGCACTTGGGAGCTTGATTCTTCTCTGGGTTTTATATAAATTCCCAGGCACACCGATAAGCGCCCACATCTTATCCTAGTCCGATCCAACTACCCATGAGTCAACCCTCGTCGGACGGTCGTGGAGGGAGTGACACAGTAAGCTTGAAGGCAAAGTGGACGTTAAGTTGGGGCTGATCTAATTCCATTCACTCCGCAGAAAGGAACCACGAAAGTAACGCACTACTGTACGTCGTATGCTATCTCACTTTCTGATCAATCCATTAGGCTTGCGCTCACCGCGTTTAGTATACTATCGCCTCTACACCAAAGATGGGCCAATCGCCTCGAACAACCCCATCTATGCGAATGACCCATACCTAAGTCGCACTCTCACGAAATTCATCACGCCCCCTCGTACTGCCTTATCCGTGAAGGGTCGAATCTGCTCAATCGAAAACCTTTCAAGAATCACAGAGTGTTCTTTGTTTGAATCGCTTTCAGGTATGACTCCCATCGAGAACACCGCGCGGCTATCGATGCAAGGCCATTCTGGTCCAGGACTTTCTGAGCATGAGCCCGTCATTCTTGTGACTGGGTCGCAGGACGTTGAAAGGTCTCCGCCGAAGCTCGAACCTGGAACATTATCAGATGCTACTCTGCGTGAGCCTCGTTACCGTACGTGGAAAACCTAGGGTTCTACTATGGCCAAACGACGCTCATGGCAATACAGTTTATTATCGTGTATACAAAGGAACGGAGGGTGCGATTGCATCGAAAACACATTTCGATGTAGATGATAACACGTTGGGTCGAATTGACGTGCTCTCCATAGCCCCTCCCCATACCGTCGCCTCCCTGAAGTCCCGGATCGTCAAAACCGAGGGTACCATAGTTTATCGCAAAATGCAAATATTCAAAGACATCGACGGCGAGGAACTGATGAATGATAAAGATCATTTGTCCTTACAGGCCGACACCTATCCAGGTTGTGAGGAAGACGATCCCATTGCAATCGTCTGTGGAGAAACCCCAATAGATCAAGAAGAAAAGGCGAAACCTCAAGAAAGTCAGAATAAAACAACAACATTTTCCAAGTCGATTCGAGTGGAGTCAGGACGGTGGGGTATGTCACTCTATTTTGGCTGTATGCCAGATCGAGCTATTCAAATATGGCTGGACAGTTCCCAACCCTCCAAAGTGGCTTACCGCGTCAAAGGGTGATGTATTGAAAACCGATGGTGTCAAGACATCTGAGATCCATACTGGCAATCGTACTGTTCTTTTTCGTGAGGTAAATTTAAGAAACTATGCTCATGTCGTGTCTTATCAAGGTGTGCATTACGATGGCTATATTGCGATGAATTCTGCTGGGACCGTCGGTTGTGAGTGATTGCTTTCCTAATTTTTTTTTCCTCAGCCAACGACACTCATTTCGACAGTCGTTCCTGAACGTGAGTGACGCGGCGCTGATATAGATGTAGTCCTCAAATTCTCATTCCGCCTCTGAACCACAGAACACGTTGTATTTTGCTAGTGTTTTTGCTTTGGTCTGTGCCACGGCGTGCACCGATTTACTAGTTTTCTTCCCTCTCGAAGAAAATTTTGGGTGAACCTTATCGGGATTCAGAATAAATCTTGGAAATTTGACTCTTCAGTAACTAGTAGCTCTGTGTTGATACCATGACTATGGACAGATTTTTACACCCGTCTATACACATTTAGCAAGAGCTGTGGACCAGCTATCACCTTAAACAAGGGATGATCAGGCAGTTAAGCGAAGTCTTTGACACATTCTAGGACAAATTAATCATTTTTGCAAAGGTACATCCACAGGACAAAAGGCTGTTAAGAATTAAAATTTGTAAATAGAACGGATTTCAGGAACAATTCAGTTTGTCTCTTCGGCATGAGGCAAAACTTTAATTTTTAACAAAAGCTTCGCCTAGGGAACAGAGTTGTGGACAAATTTAAACAATAATCATATTAATTGTTTTTATTGTGTCAGCCCCTTGAACAATTGGCAAATATACTGTCAAAATAAAAATTGTCCCAATTTATCTGACCTAATTACATACAAGGTGCAAAAATGATAAATTTGTCAGGGAATCTGTCCAACGCTTCGCTTCACTGCCTGATTGTCCCTTGTTTGAGGTGTATGTATGGACTTACTTTTTCAGGGCATAGCAATTAGTTGGTGCACAATCCCTGCTAACACTTGAGACAGGGTCCAATGTTTGATCTAGGCAAAGGTACCTCCATAATTGTCGACACTCCTAGAATAATAAAGCTGTTGCACATATGACAGTGACCCTAGCCCTTACCAAATGGACCAACCGAACTTGACAATGCTTCATACCATATGGGGCCAGCGGACTCGGCCGACATCTCAACAAATCATCCATAGTGATGGCTGGGCCGAACAGGTGGGCGCCTGCCAATAATGGGCGCTCCTATTGAAAATAACCCACACTTTGCACCAATGCCATTATTATTTTGCGCTCTACAGGCGAAATTATTTTGAGCTCTGCAAGGGGCACAATTATTTGCACTCTATGGGGGTGCAATTATTTGTGCTCTAGAGGTGCAATTATTTCAAGCTCCACAAGAGGCGCAATTCTTTTGTGCTCCATGGGGGCGCAATTATTCTGAGCGCTACAGGGGGCGCAATTATCTCGAGCTCCGAGCTCCATGAGGGGCGAAATTATTTGCATTCCATGGGGGGGACAATTATTTTGAGCTCCATAAGGGATGCAATTCTTTTGCACTCCACAGGGGGTGCAATTAATTTTGTGCTCCACAGGGCGCACAATTCTTTCAAGTACTACTGTATGTACCTTGTGCTGTTGATAGGGTCACAAATAGTCTGTATCCAGCATTGTTTCAATGTCAGAGTGTGCTGTGCCCAATGTGAAT